TAAATCTCTCTTTCATATATATATATATATATATGAGAAAAAAGTTATAATAAATTTTAATTATTAAAAGTAAAAAAATGAATAATTAAAATTTTATATAAATATAATATGTAAAACTTATATTTAAATGAATCTCTCTTTCATATATATATATATATATATGAGAAAAAAGGAAATTCCAATGTTCTTATATTTTTTTGTTTAATAATGACTACATAATGTATTTAATAAAGTTATAAAAAAAGTTTTAAGGCCAGCCAGTGACATGAATCCAATTCCTGTCCTACCAGCTTAAGCTTTTGGCTTTGAGGTTTAAGAGCCTGTTTGGTGTGGCTGGTGGGAGCTTTAACTTTTTGAGTACTGTTATGAGTGATAAGTTTAAATTTTTATTGGAGGGAAAATAGAGTTTTAGCTTTTAGAAAGGTGAAAAAGTAAGTGAAAATTAAGTAAAAAGAGAGTTTATGAAAAGTTTGGATTTGAAACTTTTAAATTTTTACTGTTTAAGAGCTTTTTGAGATTAAAAAAATATTTAAAAGTGTAAGTTTTTAAGAAGTAAATTTAAATTCATGAGATATGAATAGTGTGCAAAATCTGAAGCTCCTAGGAGCTACACCAAACATGTCCTAAGTCCAATAGCTATGCATTGTGCATTCCTTGTGAGCTACCATTGGCCTAGTTTTCTCACGAGAGCTAGGTAGGGGGTGTGCCTGTGTGGCCTAACTAGCTAAAGCATTCTACATAAGATAAAAGAGAGATCTTCTGGAGTGCAAAACAACCAACATTTAGACCAAGAATTTTTGATCCGGCCCATGTGAAGAACCAAAAGGATTTTTTGGTTCACTTTTCTTTCATACTCTTTAGTAATAATGATATGTGTGCCAAAATTTAGAATTGATAATATGATACAAGTTATATCATTTAAAATATTAAAAAATATATTATACATTATTTAATAATTAATTTTTTAATTGTTTTTAAATTTATAATATTATATACATCAACTTATTCAATGATGATTTTGAACTTAGATCCTAAATTTTCACCATCTTTATCATTACTCATTCTTTACCCATCTCAAACTAGGCAAGCTTATCAATTTAAAAATAAACAAAGACAAAGTTTATAAAAGTTGAGATTAAATTTTAAAAAATCTTGATCTTTCAAGTATTTCATAGATACATCTGTTAAACTTTGAATTTTACAAAATGATATTATATTTTGAATGCCATCATTTATTTTACTCATCAATTTTGTAATGCATACCATAAACAAACAATTACAAATATTCAATTAAAGTTTTAAAAAATGCTAATAAATCTTGCATGGGTCCAAAGTCATGCTTAAGGCGTAGGTGTTTAGCAAACACCAACTAATTTTATTATTGTTTTATTACTTCTCACGTAAAAAAAAAAAAAAAAACCATTTTTCTTTAATCATGCTTAAGGCCTCAAGGTATAATAACTTTGCTTAATATTTTTATTCTACCAAACAGAACTCTACTTAAGATGAAAAAAAAAAAAGGAATAGAACAAAACAAAACAAAATTATACAAACTCTACTTATAAAATACACATATTTAGTGGCAAGTCACATGTACTTTTCCTTAATTTGTCTAGTACTTTAATTTACCTTCCTAGGTTAATAATCCATCAAAATTTGGGAATGGTTTTTTACAACTAGTATTTGATAATTGACAGAATTTAGAAAAGCAAAAAGGCAGGATTGAATACAAAACGAGTAACAAGAGAAGTAAATATACTGTGCCTGTGACAATGATAAAGCCAAACTAAACTGCTGTAATGGAATAAATCGAACACCATAATTTGCAAATGGAAAAAAGTTATATATATCAGTTTTAGGAAATGAGGTAACATTTTGGGTGTCAAACAATGTGGCAACCAAGGAATTAATTAAGAAGACATCCCAATAAGACTCTACATATACAAGAGACTGAGGGAGATGTACTTTTATTCGACAAATGTAGACAGTAGGGAAGATTGAAGCATGTATGATAGACCAACTCACTATCAAATTTCAGCAAAAAGGATCATGAGCCACGATCTCCTTAATCTCAATTTTTAGAACCATTAGCATTGGGCTTTTCAGATTCATGACCACTCTGTAACCATAAGTATCAATATCAAGTCATTTTTAGGAAGTGCGGTTACACTTCGGAAGCAGCTCGATGTGCTGATGGGTGTGTAGTGTACCGTAATGGTGACGTAAAGAAGGTGAATCGGAAGTACTAAGATCGCGATGTGTGCTGCCCCTACTTGTCCGGCCTTTGTCCTCACGAGTTCTTCCAATTAACGGTATTCTCCTGATTGATTCCTTAATTTTTTTTTTACTTTTTATCTTTTCTGCATGTTTCGTTAATTGTTAAATGATTCATACCCATCTCTTTCCTTTTGAACCCTAGTTTTTGCATTCGATTTGCTTATCTGTGTTTGGTTTCTGAGAAATTTGGTGTTTTAGAGGCAGGAGAAGTTTAGAAAGGGAGATTGGTTGAGTTGGGGTGAGTGTGGGAGGCTGGGAGCAACACATCATCTGGTTTTTGTTATGCCCTAACTCCTAATTAAGAAGAGATGAATTGAAAGTTGTGTAATTTGTTTTATTGTGAAAAAAGGGATTTTGAAATAGAGGGAGAGAGGAAAGTTGCTGAATTAGTGGTAAGCTTGAATTACATGTATCTATGAAGACTGCTACTGGAAGCATTTTGAAACTGGTTTTTAATGAAATATAATGAAATATAAGGAACAAGGGAAAAAAAGTGGTAGTTGTGTATGAATAGCTGAGGTATGTTATTATTAGCTATTTTGGGTTCGTTTGGTAAACTATTATCTGTATAAATTAGAACAAAGGTCATGGAGATAAGTTTTCTATTTTATCATTGGTATATTTGGAAGAGATGAATTTAAATGTCAGGGATCCTGTTTCTGTTTACATTCTGGTTACCTGTGAAGTGTTGTAAAGAAAATTGTGCTAGGCATTAAATTCTCTATTCATCATGGGTATGTAAGATAGAAGACAAATAAACTAGGTATTTTTGGTTGTGATCCATGTTTCTTTATAAATTTAATTAGTGTCTCATTTACAATCCTATTTTTTATTGTCAACTGGTATGACATGTATCATTTTATGTGTTGAAGAGGGTATTTTGGTGAGTTTCTTAGGTAGATGCTATATGCTCTTGTAGTATTCATAGGCATCATTGTTCTTATGTGGTAAACTCTTATATGTTCAACTTTAGCTTTTGGTCACATTTGAGTTGCAGATACTTGTTTATGGTTTTCTTTGCAAGTTATTGAGACTGTGGGATTTCTGATTTCAAACTTGTTGTTTCGTCTTGATCTCTTTTTAAGTTACTGAGACTTTAGGATTTCTAATTTCAATCTTGTGTTTTCTCTTGTTCAGAAAATGGATATGGGGCCATGTCCAAAGGTCCACTCTTTGCAGCTGAGGAGAGAGTATCCTTAAATTACTCACAATGCTGGATAGGTGCCTTTTTAGTAGTAGGTGCTTTATGTTTGTTTTTCAAAAGTAATGTCTTCGCTGATGATATGCCAATACTATGCCCTTTTAGTAGTTTCTGTATTTCTGCATCTGTGGTTACTTAACCCTTCTTAGATATGGAGAAGCTAAGGCAAAAGGCGTCGATAATTATGACAGAGAGTTGGAAGATGCTATTGACAGGCTCATTGTTGAGTGTGATAGGAAAATTGGTAGAGCTCTCAAGCATCTTGAAGATGAGGATGCAAAGGCTACTATTGCTATATCAGTCTCTGAAGTTACTTAGGTTTTGGATAAATCTTAATTTTATCTGTCTGACCTTTCTCCCACTTGGGACTTACAGATTTATTTATTTTCTATGTTGATGTTACAGACACCGGAAGTACTAGAGCTTTCAAATCAGATTAAGGAGAAATTGAAAGAAGCTGATCAATATGGTATCATATTTTTGCACCAGCTTGTCTTTTATTTTTTTAGGGCTGTCTCTCAGTTATCACTTAAGATTTTTTCTTTTGAGAAAATTTTTATTTATTCATCCTTTTTTTTTTTTCAAAGTTAAGGTAACATTGGAAGCATCTGGCTTCATGTGTTATTAGTTAAGTTTTTATGATTTGATTTTTGTTGAAATCTATCTACTTTTGATGTTGAGTTTGAGCTTTTATTTCACTTTTATGCTTAAATTCCTCGTTTTCAATTTGCCTTTTGAAGGTTATGTATAAAAGGAGGGGGTGGGGGTTGGGCAGGCTGCTAGTATTTTCTATTGAGGTTTATACGTATGAGGTGTGACTTTTGAATTGGAACAAAGATGCGTTTTCTGCCTTGCCAATTGATGGTGAGTACTTGTTTTGTTTTCTTTGATTTAACTTGGTTATTCTTCTTTGAATTAATTGATTCAAGGTGATGTCCAAATTTATAACAATTGTTGTGAAGTTTTTGTTTGTAGGTTCAATAGATTTCATAAATTTTAAGATTTTGATTATATGGTACAAAGGGATGACCATAGTTGGAGTTTGACTGCGTTCCCCATTATTTCAACTCTAAGGTGTTTAATTTGTTATAAAAAAGAATAATTAAATGATTCAATTAGTATTTTTAGAGGTAGGAGACTGCCTCAGAATATCCATTTGTCTAGTTGATATGTTTGGATAGTTAAGATTAAATCAATATGGTTGAATTCAGCCAAAGGCTATGTCCTCTCACATATTCTGAAGGACCTGGGCCATGGTGCCAAAGAATGGTCAACTGTTCACATCATTTGGTGTGCCTTTAAATGGCAGATTAGCATGACAAAGTAATGATGTGTCACAGTCTCACTTTTGTTGCAGCCTTTGTAAATGAATTTTTGAGAATTCTTTAGAAATTTCTCTTGTTAGGGAGTTTAACATATGATTGGTTTGGGATTTTAATATATGATTGGTTTCAGTGATTATATCAAATCCATAATATTACATTGCTTGACTTGATGACTTCCTAGCAAGCCATATCGTGTTTAATTTTTGAAGCCTTTTTACAAGTTTTTTGTTTAAAGTGCTAAATTCTGTACATACAACAATTATGTTGCATAATATTTTCTTTGTCCTTTGTCTTAATGTTTACTGTGGATAAATTGTGTAAATTTTATGATTAGCTTTGGGGTGTGCATGATATCTTTTTGATTTGCAGATCTTGAAGGCAAGAGAGCTTAAATATGAGCTCTAGAAGAAGTAGAAGAGCTTAGAACTAAAGGAGTGGATAAACAGGTACTTGATAGCTTCTTTAGATGTAGGATTTGAAATGGGTCTCTGAAAGTATTGATTTATTCATATAAATTTCTGATATTGACTGTGTATTAAGTTCCTCATAATTTGATTCTTGTGTAACATTTAGTCTCTTGGTATATATGATGCTTCTGTTGATTGTTATAGTCAACACTGCTTTTGGATGCATTCAATAAAGATCAGAGTATCTTTGCCCCAACCATTGCCAAATCCTCCATCTTTGGTGCCACTGCCTGTGCCTGCACGTGATCCTTGGACCCAGGAAATGATAAATGAGAAGCTGAAGAAAGCTGATAATCTTGGTAAGACTCAAGTTACCTGAACTTCGTTTTTAATGTATGTAAAGCAAGGAGAAAAACATCTGGAGTTCTTGACGACGGATATCTATTAAGTAGCATGTGTTAAATAACATAAACATCTTGAGTTCTTGACAATAGATATCTATTAGGTAGCATGTCTTAAATAATTAAATTCCTAGAAATGGAATAGCACTAATCCTTAAGTTGTTTCTGAGGTATTTATTATGCCAACTTATGTTCCTTCCTATTTGTGCTTTTACCATTTTTTCCTATAAAAAAATGTCAATGTCAGAAAATTTGTTTCCCCTGCCATTCCAAAACAATTGTCAATGGTTGATAAAGACTCAGTGCTTTACTGTTTTTTCAATTAACACTCAGTGCTTTACATTAACAATGCCTTTAGGGTGGTTTCATATAAAATATACAAAAAGGCATTGAACTGTGTTGTACAAAGTTTTCAAGAATACATGATGTACTTATCATTGTTTTATTAATGGTCTTTGTTGCTCTCTTATTGTTGTTTAGGTGAGGAGGGGATGGTAGATGAGGCACAAAAAGCATTAGAAGAGGCTGTAGCACTCAAGAAGGTTTCAATTTGTGAATTTAGTAGTGTTATTTCTGTAGATTGATTTTTATTACTTTGCACCATTTCCTTCTCCTTGGTATGCCTTATTTATGGATAATTATTTTTCCATATATGTTCAGCTCGCTGCCAGACAGGAGCCTGTTCTGGATTCCTCAAAGTATACTGCTGTTGATGTTCGCATTGTGAGTTCTGTTTTTCTTTCTTTCAGTTTCACAGAAGGAAAACTATGATAATAACTAGATAAGAAAACTAAGACACACTTGGACCTTATTAGGAAAGTATGAATTTGATTTGCATAATTAATGCATGAACAGTCCCATCATAATTTGATTTTAGTTCAATTTTCTTTTAGTTCATTTATATGTTAATATTCTATCTGCTCTAATCTCTTTGATCCAATTTTGTTTCAGACTGATCAAAAGCTATGTGTTTGTGATATTTGTGGAGCATTTTTGAGTGTTTATGATAGGTACATTTTTAATCTTCTACTTCCTGATCATAGCCTTTTATCTTCTTTCTACGGGCTTCAAAAAGTTAGTGTTTGGGGTTTCAAGTGCTTCAGCTTTTGACCTGGCTATTATACCTCCTTGTCACGAGCAGGCTTTTGGGCCCAGTTTTACGAGGATAACTTTTGCAGCTACATAATGTGCATCTTTTTCTGTTTTTGTACTTGTAGATCATGCAATTGTTAGATAATAAATATCTGGGAAACTGTATAATCTATAATGCATACTACTGCAGTATATATATTTTTTCCTTTTTTTAATTTTCTAGGTCAAAGTGATTTGATTTTTCTTGTTTCTTTCAGTGACCGACGTTTAGCAGATCATTTTGGAGGCAAACTTCATTTAGGCTATATGCAAATCCATGATAAATTAGCAGAACTTCAGGTAAGATGATTTACATGCTTAGTATATGCTGACTGTCTATGGTGGCTCTGCTTTAAGTGTTACGTTATAACGCCTGGCATCCAAGATGTTGGTTGTATAAATTGCCTGAACTATCCACATACTATGTCTATTATTATTATTATTATTATTATTATTATTATTTAAATAATCAGAACTTTATTCGAATGCCGTTACCCAATGGATTCTAGTCAAACAGCAAATTAATTCATCTGTTCCAGATCCCCTTAAGTTTGTATTGTGAATATGTTGGTCAGATGCTGGTATAATGTTTCTAATTCTTCTATACAGATTCTCAGTAAGTATCATCTATGAGTTTTTCTGACCTCAGAGAAGAATAATATCTCCCAGTTTTCAATTTCTTTTGATTGTTTGTCGATGCTGGACTTTAAAACATATTATTTTCTACCTTGTCTGTGCATATCGGGCTTAAAATGCATCAAATATGAAATGTCTTGGTGCTCAACCAATTTTGATAGATTAGTTTTTTCTGCTGAAAGAATGAAAGAAAAAGGAAACATGAAATCAAATAGGAGAGAGGTACAAGAAAGGAGTTTGTTGTAAGTAATGTAAGAAAAAAAAAATCAGCTTTTCTTATTTTTAAAATCTGTGACAACAAATCTGATGAAGGCCTAGTTTGGTCAGGGTAAGTTGCCTACTAATTGTGCCTACCACCACTAGAATTCTTTCCTAATGGTCCTTGTGGCATGTCATATTTAGCTAAATTGAATTGGCATTTAGGTTTTTGAAAGAAGCATTCAGTAGTATTTGCTGATTATTGTTTTCTCAGGAAGAGAGAAACAGGAGCCACAAACTTGACCGGTATGATGACAGGAAGTAATCCTCATGGTCTCTTTTCCTTTGGTAAACCATTGGGTGGTGAGGGGGGTGTTGTGATATCCTTTTTATTGGTGGTGTATAGATTGAAAGAAGGAAGCAGAGATCATGAGAGAGAATCAAGTTGGGACTGAGACCGAGGGACTAGCCATGACCGAGGGAGGGATTATGATCGTAGGAGCAGAGATCGTGACAGGTATAGTGATCAAGATCGTGATAGGGATTACGAGCGCTCTTGGACTTATGATTCTAGAAGTCGCCACAGGTCATGTTCAAGGTCTAGGGAATGCTCCAGGGATCATGATTGCCATAGGTACTTGTTTAACAATATCCCATACTTGTACAACATATTATTAGTTGTGTTTTGTGATCATTAACTTATTAAATGTGTAATATAATATAATATTTGTTTTCTATTATTGTAAAATGTGCCAACCTGAGTCTTTTACCATTGTTTTCAAATTTAATGCTGAACTCTAGCTACTATTTGAGTCCAAGAAGCTTAATATAAGATAAATGCCAGGGACAGTTGCATCAAATATATTTGAGGATGTGAGCTACAATCCTTTATGATTTTGGCAACCAAGAAACTCTTTTAACCTGAAGCTAAATCCTTCTTTCCTTTCTTCCTTTTTTTATTTTTTTTATTTTTTTTTATTTTTTTTGAGCTTATATGCTCAATAAGCTAATTATAATTGTTTGCACACAAAATGACCAAATTTGAGAAAAGAAATGTTGAGTTAAAAAGTTTTGATCTTAGGTTTTTATGTTCAACGAACCTGAACATATTGGCTAGTTTTGAACATATTGTTATAAATAAGCATGAGGATAAGAATCTTAGTCAGCATTTTTGAGTGCTATCATCTGTAGTATATTTCCCTTATTTTTGGAATATAGTATAGAGAAATGGTTGTAAATCTTGAATAGACCCAGAACCAATCATGCTTAAGGCTTAGGGGTGTAGCGAACACCTGTACTGTAGATTTTAATGCTGTTTTTCATCACATAAAAAACCCTGGGTTTTTTTAATCTCATCTAAGTTCTAAAATATCTTGACTACCGTTTGATTATGATGAGCTGATGAAGGGATGGCATTCCTTTAGTACCTAATTATGTTATGACTTGTTAGTTATTGCTTGGATTTGAATCTTGATCTTCACTTCAAAACCAAGTGAAAGATATTTGCCTGCCTTATTTTTATTACTTTTTGTTTTGTGTCTGAAGCTTTTAAAGTTTTTTGTGATGGTAAGGATTATTCTCGAACCTTGCTCATTGTTTATAATCAGGCGTGACCAATACTAGACGCATGAATGCTGCCAAGAAGAAAATGAATACGAAATTGTTCTTGCTTAGCTAAGCCGACTTATATAGGAGTAGCATTCCTCAGTTAAGTTATTTGACAGTTTGTCATGTGGTTGTATCAACATGTTTAAGAGGGTATTTGTTGTTTTTTTGGTACCTAGAGACTAGGAATTGAATCTTCAACTTATGGTTAAGAGTACAAGTAATTCTATCATAAGAGTATATGGCTGACAGCAGGGGCGGAGGCAGAAATTTTTTTCAGGGGGGCAAAATACTAAAATTTTCAAAGTTTAGGGGAGGGTAGATAATTTTTCATATAATAATTTACAAGATTTTCAAATTTCAGGGGCGAGCGCCCCCCTCGCACCCCACTGGCTCCGCCACTGGCTGACAGTGAAGAAAGCATTTGTTACTTGGTGATTTGTGTTTGGTATTTGGTATCATTGTAGATGTAAGTTTGATTGATTTTACTATTCCAATTTGCATGTCAGGCAATTTTTCAGTTGAGTATCTAAAAGGAAAATTAATATAATGAGGTTGAATTTTATTTTCTGCTTTTACGGCTTGATATTAAGTTGGCAAGAAATTTGAGGATGCTGGAAACATGATTCACACAATTATATCTAGATTCAATCTCATCTAATGGTAATCAACCATGATTGGTTGTGAATTAATATGCATGAAATTATGATGTATGAAAAGAAAAAATTTTTGTGATTCTCAATCATATGATGTGTAAAAAGCATTAGATCAAATTACATCCAAAGGTTAAATGGGAAATTGCAGGGAGTGAAAGCTCATCCATTGATACCAAATATACTTAAAGAATCATCTATAAGGAAAGGAGTGTGCTTTAAAGTATGCAAATGCACATCTCCAATATGCAAAGTGGCTCAATCTGTCTCATCTTGTGTAGCCTATTATCACACACGAAGTTAAAAAAATGTGAACCTCCCAGGGATCTATGTATCACAAAAGAGAAAGGAGATACATGAGGCACTAAAATCTGTTGTGCATGTGAAAGCTAAAATTTATATTTAAAATTATGGTTTGCTTTGTGTATAAAGGAAAAAAAATATAGCAAACCCATCAAAATGAAAAAACCATATTCTAATTAAGAACAAAGTACATCAAAACCCAATTGATAATTGTTAAGTAACATTTGTCTTCTGAATACTCCCTCTATCTTTAAAACACCATAAACAATAGATAATTTAATTTTGGGCGCCAAGCAATGTGGCAACTTTGTAAAGTTCATATCCAATTCATGACTTATGAGTGTATCATTCAGACCTTAGAGGAATTAAGAAAGCAACCTCTCAATATATATAGTTCCATACCATATGTATAAGAAATGTACTTTTATCATACAAGTATATATAAGAAAGCAACATTTGTTTTCTTGAAGGACGTTCTTTCTTTAATACTATAAAACAACCCATAAATTTAAAGTCTTTGCATGAATTTAATAATACATATTACAAGTTGCACATGAGTTTGAGAAATAAAAAAGCTCCGGTTTTTTTTTTTTATAGAAAAAGGGATCAATTTTAGATAGTGAGGTAACATTCTGGCCACCAAGCAATGTGACAACTTCACATCCAACTTATGCGTACACCATTCAGACCTGCAAAGAACTAAGCAAGCATCCTCAATGTACCCCCATGCATGTTTACAAGAGATGTACCTTTATCAAACAGTTGTAGAGATGATGGAAGCATAAGACCAACTCACCATCAAATTTCACTTGGAAAGGACATGAGCCGCAATTTCGTTGACCTCAAATTTCAGAATCACCTTGACTCTGCAGATATAACAACACAATACCGACAGTGAAAGGAAAAATTGTAGCAAAAATTTTGTTTTTTAAAATCATGGTCTATTAAGCATTCATACATACCTTTCTATTTTTTACTGTTATTTTGAAGATTCTAAATGGAGATTTGTGTAAAAAAGGAAAAGAGAAATAGATAGAACTTAAAAAACAAAAAACTTAAGGAGATCTTTCGAATTAATGCATACCTTTTGTATGAACTGTAGTTGTACGGTCAAGTTTAGGTTGCCATCCCCAAAGCCTTCATCTTCATCTCTAGTCAATTTTGCCTTTTGTAGTTTTGGCGTTCTTATTTCATCCATAGAGAAAGTCTGCATACTTGGACAATCCAAAAAAATCACCTCTTCCAAAAGAGGGAACTCAAACTTGCATTTAACCGAGCAAAAGCTTGAAAGTCTAGGCAGACTACAAAGTTGCAAATACTTGAGTTTGCTAAAGACAATCTCATCCTTCACATCATCCTCCAAGCATGTGACAGTTTCCAACAAAGGTAGCGGAGTGGCCTTTTGAGCTTGTGATTGGCTAACACCAGGTTCATGAGACTCAAGTATCTCTTCAAGTGAATCACAGTTCCATATTTGGAGCTTGTCTAGTCTCTGAAGCCTTTCCAACATGCTAAATGGGAAAATATTCAATAACTTTTCACATGAAACCACACTCACCAAAGTTAGTTGGCAAAAAGAATCTACTTCAAGCTGGTCGTTCCATATCTTATTCAAGCTATTTACATGTTCAATTACCAAACGCTCTAATTTGGGAAATGCCACCTACATATTTACACAATTCAATTAAAATTAAATATAATTATAAATGTAATGGAATGAAAATATTGGAATCTAATTTTTTTCAAATTAATGTAAAACTTTAAGAAAATAATAATAGCATTATAAGACATTAAAAAGCGAAAAATAAAGGGAAAAAAATAGAGGAGAAATCACCTTTGCATTAAAGAGAGAAAGTGTATAAGTGTTTTTGACATTTTGAGAACTAGCTATCATGTCTCCAAAGAAGAAGCTAGAGATGAAAGTCTTCAGCACAGGACACTTGCTTATCTTAAGTTTCCAAAGGCATGGTAATTCCAAGTAATTTCCAGAACAAAATCTTGTGAGTTTTGGAAGGTCTTGGAGCAATAGGAACTCCAGGTTAGGGAAGAAAATCTTGCACATAATTTCCTCATCCATTGATTCTTCTGCATGTATTACCTCTTCCATCATATTACAATCACAAATCTTGAGCCAATTCAGTTGCTCAAAACTCTTAACCATGGAGGATGTCAAGAGATATTCCAAATTACCACAACCCTCCACACACAACTTTCTTAAATTTTGGATATAAGAAGAGATTTCTAGAATCGAGTTGTCCAAAATTCGTTGAATATTATTTGAAGACAAACTCAAAAACTCCAAGTTAGGAGTCTCTACCTGCAAAGATTCTTAGTTAGTCTATTAATATAAGACAGTAGGAAGATGACTATCATATTTGCGTAATTTTAGCTGAAGACAACTTCAAAAACTCCAAGTTGAGAAAAACTCAACCTAATAGAAACTTCATGAAAAAGTTTTTTTTTTTAATTGATTAAACTAAAAACATTAGAAGGATAACCGAAAAGCAAGAACATGAAAATGATGTGCAATTATGTGAGGTAAATTGATATTTTGAGTAGAAAATAGCCAACTCTTTTTAGACTTAAACATTATTTGGGTCAATGTAGGGCAAAAAAGAAAAAAATATTATTTGGATCAATAATCATATTTTAAAACTTGAATAACTTCACATTTTAAGTGGTGATGGCAAGTCTTTATTTTCTAACCGTATATTAAGTGAAACTTATTTAAGGAGAATCATTCATGTGGTTAAAGAGGTAACTAGAGATGAGAACACCGACATACAAAAAGCAAACATAAATATGCTGTAAAATCTTAGTTATAAAAAATAAATATAAAAAATAAACCATGTTGCTGTAAAAAAAAAAAAAAAAA